GTGCTTTACATATATTAATTAATTTAATATGTGCAACACGGGTCCTCCTTGCCAGCCTTCCTTCTAGGATGACAGACTGACCAGGAACGAACGTCCAGGAGCAAAAGCCTCACTATCCACGGATAGCCACCTTGAAACTAAGGGAATGTGTCCCTTAGCTTGTACCTTTATCAAAGCACTGTCTTCATCAATTTTCTGCCTGATTTCAGGAACCGTAATACTTAATTTTCTACCCTCCTACTCTACCTTGCTGTAGTTTGCCCTGACTACAACTTCAAGAGAGACACGACCTCTGCAACCAGAACCTGCAGCTGGTCAGGCTCCCAGAAGTCCCTGCCCCCATGGGGCAAGTGAGAGGCAAGGAGGAAGTTATGATGCCACATCATTCTATCCTCACATGCCCTGTTCTGCTGTTAAGTTACTGGCCGTGCCCTGGTATCCTGAAATGTGTCTCTTCACAGCATTAATGTTGGGGTCAAGCATAATATCTGGGCCAAACGTCACCATGTCCACAGGGAACAGGACCAAACTAACTGGATTCCTAGTAATTCTACATAGCAAGAAGCCATAAAACAGGAACTTGTATTTATTTGCAAAATGTTTTAAAATTATCTTTAAAGGGTAGGTCATAAATCGTGCTCAGAACCCAGAAGTGTAGTGATCAGCACATGTGAAGTAGTCAAAGGAATATAAAACAAAGATATGTTTCATCAAGAATTCAGTCCTTTCCAGGTCATGCTAAAGAGATGAGGTAGGGTAGGGGCGCCTGGGTGGCTCAGTCGGTTAAGCGTCTGACTTCAGCTCAGGTCATGATCTCCCGGTTCATGAGTTTGAGCTCTGCACCTAGCTCTGTGCTGGGAGTGCAGAGCCTGCTTGGGATTCTCTCTCCCTTTCCCTCTGCTCCTCCTCTGCTCATGCTCGCACACTCTCTCTCTCTCAAAATAAATAAATAAGCATTAAAAAAAATTTTTTTTAAGGAAACAAAGTAGGGTAAAAACACACTTGGAATCAGACAGACATGAGTTTTAACCTTGGTCTGACCACTTACCAGTTCTGTGAGGTAAAAAAATTTAGCTTAAATACTGAGCCTATTTCTTCATCTGTTCAACAGCAATGTTGCAATAGTTCCTAGCTTACAGCTTGGTGGTGGGGTTTCAAAATCCTATATTTCAAATGCCCAACACAAAGCGTGGACAGCTCCCAGCTGACACCGTGGAGCCTGCTTAGGATTCTATCTCCCTCTCTCTCTGCCCTCCCCTGCTTTCTTTCTAGCTTCCTCTCAAAATAAATAAAAATAAACTTTAAAAAAAAAGTTACAAAAAAACCACTGATCCTCAGGAAATGTTTCAATGATTTAAGTTAATCCCATGAAACTAAAGTTATACACTACCCTGGAAACCCCTGTTATAATTGAATTGATTCACTGGCTGTCTAGTAAAAAGAAGCAAAGGGTAGAGAATCAGAACATTTGTAAGCATCAGAAATGATATTTACCTAAGAACAGCAAGACCAGGATGTAGTGTATTTATTTTCGAACCAAAGGTCCAAGTACATTCTATCTTGACATTTCTGAGGCAGAAACTCCAAAGGCTGTCCAGTTCTATCCACAGAAGAAATCCTCATGAGGATTTAGAAAAGAGAAGTTGAGTCATATGTTGGAACAAGTGATGATTTTTTAGCCTCCCGCAATACCAAATCATGGAAAGATTTCAGAGGTTGTATAAATAAAATATGAATATCAAAGTTCATGGTTCCTTTCTGCAAGTAATGTTTATCTTTGTTTATGCAAAGAATTGAAAATCAAAATGTGAGTGGAGATTAGCTATTTCTTCCATAACATGTCTGATTTTCTCTGTCTATGAAGGGGAAAAAAGCAGTTTAAAATGTGTTCATTGTTTCATGAAAATCAATTCCCCAGCCCCCTCCCTTTCTGATTTTTGTTACCTACAACAATTTAGCTCTGTTGTTCATAATCCAGATCTGGTTATTCCTCAGCCCTCATAGCCTCCAGATTCTTACCTGCTCTAACAGTTACTTTCAAACTAAATCAAAGCTTTAACGCAGAGTTTTCATTTATGCTAAATTTATATGAGGCAGCAATGTGACATAAAACCTCCAAAAAATGTCTGTCCATCTTAGAGTGTATTAAGAGAAGTATGGTAACCAAAATGATATAGCAGCTGGTCCCTCTTGACTTTTGGAAAGAAACAGAAACACCTCATGTATTAAAGTATTATACCTCTTGAAAATTTTAGGGATCCAACATATAGTACCCATTTCTTCCATTCCTGAGTTCAGAACCAGTTGAAAAGTAAGACACAGGAAACCAACAGACAGGTTAAACAGCTTTGTTATTGATAAACTAATTGGAAAAAGTGACATTAGATCTGTGGTACAAAGAGCCTATTAATTTTCTATGCCCACAAGCCCTTCCTGTCCCTGTGCACACACCCAAAGCCTACCGCACCACCTAAGGGAGAGTCTGGAACTGCCTCTGTCCAGGTCAGAGAAGAAAGGGAAAGAGGAAGCTTACAGTCTTTTGATAGATTTGTTCACCCGATTAGGTTAGCTTACCTGCCATCACCTAACAATTAAGTGATTGACTTCACTGTAGGAAGAGTGAGTGGGACATGGGAACAGAGGCCAGTTTTATCCCAGTGGAGGTCCTTCAACAGAGAAACACTGACCAAGAGGAATTTCCCTCCCAACAGCACCCGATTCTAAACCCTTCATTTGATAAATCAGAGCATGTCGAGGGCATGGCCAGGAAAGTGGAGACCTTTGAAACACTGTTTCATAACAAATAGATTCAAGGGCAAGACTACATGGACTGAACACCTTCCTTCCAATAGCTGAATGCATAGCTGGCTTGGTCTGGTGGCAGAGACAGATATTCTATTTGTTCCTCCATATTTCCCTCATCCTGCTCAGTTAGGCAAACGCATATGACTAGCCCTGGCCAACAGATTGCGAGAAGAGCTGACATGTGTCTTCCCCACGCTAAGTCAATAAAAGGTCCATTCTTGATTCTTCAGTCTCTCTTTCCATCTGCTTCAGTGACTTGGGGAGGTCCCACATACCAGGTGGTGCACCTCCATTAACCTAGGTCTTAAATGAAAGACAGAGAAGGAGTTCAAGAGTGCCACATCACGGTCTTGCAGAATAAAAGCAGAAAAGCACCTTCCAGAGTCCAGAATCAATTCTGAAACCAGGACCATTCTCCATCCCCAGAAGAGGCCTAGAATACCCACGTGGCAAGATTTCAGAATTGCTGTAGACCAGTGGATACTATGCACCTCTCATTCCTCACCATTTCAAGTTGGAGGGTTTATGACATTATCTTGACCGTATTCTGTTGTATGCTGGGAGTGAAGGATGCAATAACCTGTCTTTTTTGTTTGTAGATTTGTGGAGCAAGAGGGGCCACATGCTGATCTGATATAGAGGTTATTGTGGGATCACTCAGAAATCCCAAACTTGAAGCTCAAAGCCTTGATTTAAGTTGCCTCACTTGTTACGGGGTTAAGTGACTTCTATATTTGGAAGAAAGGAGAGCAGACCTATGTTGGCAACCAGAAGGCAGAACTACACTAGTGACAGTGTTGCTCACTAAAGATTGTCATCCAACGGAGCTGTGTGACTAGCTCTGGGCAATAAGCCATGGGTGGAAGTGACTTCAGGTATCTCTTACATGTGTCTGAGTCAAAACTACGCTTTTATCGTGCTTAAGCCATTATATATTTGGGGGTCTAGTATTACAACAGTTAACACTACTTTAACAAACACCCATACCTGGATGTTGATCAACCATACCACCACCACTACCACATACACACACACACACACACACACACACACACACACACCCATACACTCAGTCACTGCATTGCTCACACCTGCTCATATTTTGAACCCGGGCTTACATACATCAAGAGGTTATTTCTGAGCCCCTCAGCTGGTCTCATTTAAGTTTCTCTATCATGCTCTCTTCCTGCGCATCCTGTTCTTCCTGCCATTTTACTTATCACAATGGATAATTACATACTCATTTCTGTGTACATATATTTAAAGCCTATGTCCAAAACTGATCCATAAGATCCTTGTATTCAAAACCTTTTGTCCACCCCAATAATATACACGGAGTTTGCACTGTGCTTGGCAAACAGCCATCACAGCCAAATTTTAAAACGGCGAGGATTAACAAGTGAGAGCCCATTATCAAGGAAATACACTTTTTAATGACAAGACTACCGCTCTAGACCAAAAATCACAGAGAATTAAAATAAAGACCATGGGGATATCTTTTTTTACCTTTATTCATTCAGAATACAATTCTAGACCAATCTACAACCAAGAGAAAACCCTAAGCTTTTAAGTAGTGTTAGCAGGCTGAATAATATAACAGTATCGCCCCCATATGTGCAAGCAGGAAGTCAATTCTCATCATAAAATCCCTTTCTAAACATTTATTTTTCCTTCCCATCCAAAAAATGCATTAACAAGATCATGCTTATATAGCTAGTCAGCACAAGACAAATGACAATTTATACTGAACTATGTAAGTCTTGCGGTATAATGCTCACAACACCAAAATGTAGCTGTTGACCTTTTCAGTGGCATTCACTATGTGGCACTGTTACCATTACACTAAAAGGACTTCATTAGTTTTTAAAAGCCAGAATTACTCAAAAACTTCTGGATCGTAAATAACACGTGGAATATTTCCTTTAAGTCTAAAATGGCAGATCACTCAAACCTTTCCTATAGTTCTCCATGTAATATATGTAGGAAAATGAATGTTATATGAGAAGAAACAGACCAAGTTCTTATACTTTTACCTAAAAGTCTAATTGTTTATTTTAAGTGATATCTATTAATATTTAAATGATTAAAAATAAATCAATGTTAAATATTGCACAAGATCTAAAAGAAAATGGCCACATTACATCATACTACATTGTATAGATAGATTGATTAAAAGCAGCTAATCAGAAGCTTTTTTAAAAATTTAAAGTTTCTGACATCATTTTCCACCATTCCATCAATTCTTCCTTTTCCACTTCTTTCCTTTCAGAAAATGACTCCAGTTCAAAATCAACCTAAAGGAGAAAAACAAGAATATTTTGTTACCAACTGCATGTGTACTTTTAAAAGCTGAAGTTAAGTAAAAAAAAAAAAAATTAGTGCAGTTTTAGATCTTATAGGATAAGCTCAGTATAGCCACCTGAGCTATATACAGCACATCCTAAAAATCTCTTGTGATAAACAAAAGATACTTTCAGAGGAAAAAAAAAAATCAAAAGCCATTATGTTTGAAATGTGCTTTAATGCGATCTAATAGCCTTGTAGGATTATTTAAAAGCAGATTTTTTTAAGTCAATTTTCCCTCCAATAAGAAGATGTAATTTAGGATGAATTTTCTAACTTTGACTCTTCACTGAGCTTCTCCTATAAACCTTGAGTTTTCTCCTAATAGCTGGGAAAATATGGAAGAATGTAGTTCAGTGTCCTGGTGTCCCAAACCATAAGTTCTGCTTTCTAGAATCTTGAATCTGTTAAAGAAACTGATGGAGGCACATACATCTCCAAACAACCACAGAGGCCAGGGGCCCAGGAACTCAACTCTCAGAGTGAACTGGGAGTTTTCATCAGGTCTGTGGGCAATCCCTACATCTACACAAAAGGCTATTCAAAATCTGTACTCCCCAACCCCAACCCTTCTCAGGGCCTCTAGATACTTCTGTCCCCATTGCAAATAGAACTAAGAGTTCCTTGGGGCACCTGGGTGACTCAGTTGGTTAAGCTTCTGACTTCAGATTTCAGCTCCGATCGGGATCTCATGGTCATGAGATCAAGCCCTGCCTGTGGGGCTCCTTGCTGGGCGTGGAGCCCACTTAAGATTCTCTCTCCCTCTCCCTCTGCACCTCCCCTGCTCGCATGCACGAGCATGCTTCCTCTCTCTGTCACTCTACCTCTGTCTCAAAAAACTAAGCAAATAAATAAACAGAAAAATGAATCAGAAATAAAAATGATATTTTAAAAAAAAGGAACCAAGAGTTCCTTCATCTGGCCACTTAAGCCCCTAGATATTTAGGAATATGACTATACTCACTACCTCCTTGAAGTAACACAGGCCAGAAAGGCTAAGATCCAAATAATTAAATGTTTTACAACCTATTTCTGGGGCTACTTTTTTCCAGGTTTCATTTGCCCAAATTTATCTCCTGATTTTAATACATATACAGCCTAATGTACACATACACACAATGAAAACCAAAGCATCAGTTAAAAAACTCAAGGTATTCTGTTTGCAAAACCAAGCCCTTATACTCCAACTCAGGACAAAAATGCAATAAATTCTTTACAAGTAAGTGTTTCAACTGGAAAGTCTGCAGGCCATTTCCTGGTTCCAAAAATGTAATGCAAAGATAGCAGTAGAATCCTCACCTTCCTAGCAAAATAGGTGGCACCTCCTTAAATGAGATGCACTTTTTGATACCGCTTAGCAGAGGGTCTTTCTCATAATACGTGCTTAATAAAAGTTTGGTTAATGCCTAAAATCACCTTGCAGGCATGATCAATTTTTCCAACTACTCAGTAAAGTATTATATTGGATGCTGGAAATAAAAAGATAAATGGAACAGAAATCTCATTTAAACTGAAATCACTGTGGCAAATAAAAGTTTAATTTTTTTAAGTTGTCTTTGATGTTCTTGGGTAGGTCTTCAAAAAACTGAGAAGCAATAAGGGAGCTTCACATTGAATGGTATAAAATCGACCAAGGAGCCCTTGGCCAAGTCACTTAACTTTGCCAGCTTCAGTTTTCTCATCTGTTAAATGGGGGTATTAGTGGTACCTACCTCATAGGGTTATTATGAAGACTAAATATAAATCACTTAAATATGCCTGACACATATTAATTGCTTAATAAATCTTAGCAATTATGATTTCTTACCCCAACAGCAGGGCTATAAGGGACTGCTACTTTCTTTGTTATCGCCAGATACCCTGGAGCTGAAGCTGTGAGTTTATAGTTTCCAGGTACAAGCAATCTCCAGTAATCACCATCCTTTGCTGTAAGGAAACAAAATATCAAATCACATAATTATGCCATTTTAGGAATACCCAGTATACCTCCGTTTAATTTCTTTGATTCCCTATTTTGAAAGTAAATGTTTATGGAATTTGATAACATTCCATTGAAATCAGTGTTACATTCTCTTAGAGGAAGTAATTTCTAATAGCAATTTTACAAATACTAATGTCAAATTGTCAATAAATCTTATAAGATAATGGATCTTCATAATCATGTCAGGTGCGGCACAGGTAAAAAGATATAGAAAGCCCCCAAACATGGAGTCAGGGCATCTGATGCTGTTTTGATTCTGGCCAAGTATCTTGACATGAAGACCCAATGGTGTAAGTCTAGATCAGTGCTTCACAAAGTGTGGTCCAAGAAAGCCTCATCAAAAACCTGAGGTACTTGTTCTTGTTTTTTGTTTTGTTTTTTAGATTTTATTTATTTATTTTATAATTTTTAAATTTTATTTAAATCCAAGTTAGTTAATATATAGTGTAATAATGATTTCAGGAGTAGAATTTAGTGATTCATCACCCAGCGCTCAGCCCAACATTGCCCTCCTTAATACCCATCATCCATTTAGCCCATCCCCTACCAACACCCCTCCAACAGCCCTCAGTTTGTTCTCTGTATTTGAGTTTCTTATGGTTTGTCTCCCTCTCTCTTTTTATCTTATTTTCCTTCCTTTCCCCATCTGTTTTGTTTCTTAAATTCCACATATGAGTGAAATCATATGATATTGATCTTTCTTTGACTTATTTCACTTAGCATAATACCCTCTAGTTCTATCCACGTTGTTGCAAATGGCAAGATTTCATTCTTTTTGATCACCGAGTAACATTCCATTGTATGTACATACCA